CTCTAACAGTGTCTCTGTCCTTCTCACCCTCTTTGATGTGGCCTCTTCTCTACATTTAGCTGTGGAGAGTCTGTTCTGCCAGTCTTCAGGTCGTTTTTTGGGTTATTTGCCCTAATGTGTGTGTTACCTAGTTGTATCTGTGGGATGAGGTGAGCTTAGGGTTCTCCTACTCCACCATCTTCCCTGGTAATCCTACTACATGACAATATGGTTTAGATTTCTATTTCTTAAGTTTGCTTCTTTTAAAAATATTTTTTTAATGTTTATTTATTTTTGAGAGAGAGAAAGCACACTAGCAAGTGTGGGAGCTGGGGATGGGGCAGAGAGAGAGGGAGACAGAATCTGAAGCAGGTTCCAGGCTCAGCACTGTCAGCACAGAGCCTGATGCAGGCCTTGAACTCACAAATGGTGAGATCATGACCCGAGAGGAAGTCTGATGCTTAACTGACTGAGTCACCCAGGAACCCCAGGTTTGCTTCTTAATATATGGATTTTTAAAAAATGTTTATTTATTTTTGAGAGAGAGAGAGAGAGTGCAAGTGTAGGAGGAGCAGAGATGGGGAGGTGAGAGAGGATCTGAAGTGGGACTTGGGCTGACAACAGAGAGCCTGATGTGGGCTCAAACTCACAAATTGTGAGATCATGACCTGAGCCAAAGGCAGAGACTTAACTGACTGAGTCACACAGGTGCCCCAATGTATTGATTTTGTATTGGTTTGTCCCTCCAGTGATATATTAATTTGCTTTGAAAATCCTAGCTGACTGACTTCCAGATATTAGAAGGAAAAAATAAAGGTTTCATCTTTAAGCACGTTTTATACATAGGTCAGTATTTAGAAATTCTCACAAAATTATTGAAAAGAAAGCAGCTGAGAAGACTGTCAGATAATGACTAGCTATATGTGTTTATGCTGTGATTTATGTCATCTGCACAGGATAACTTCAAATATCGGCACATTCTTCTTGGATTGGGAAAACTAAACTTTCTTGCAGCTACTAGATAGCTAACCAATTCTCTATGAAGCATAAGCCACATAAAATTAAAACTTCTGTTTGCTTGTTTATTTATTTTTTAATTTTCTGTGTTTAGAACATTGCTAAGGGTTTTAGGTAAGATAGGGAAGTTTCCAAGTGGGAACAGAGAGATTGATTAGAAAATTCAGTCCAAATTTTTTTATCTCAGAGCTTAAAAGAGGCAAGGGAAATTGATATTTTGTAATGAAAACTTTGAGGGTTCCTTCCATTCCATCTCAAAACTAGAACTGTTTTCTAGAGAAGAAAAGAAATATCTGGTGATATCTTTATACATTTACCAAAACTAAAATATGTACAATTTTGAAATTTTGGATGAATATCATTGTTGGCTCTTCTGTTAGATTTATTTTCTGTACCTTTGATGTATTAAAACCTAATGTGATAGTAGAAAATTGCCTTCTAAGAAAAGTTTTGATTTAGCAAAAATAAACTGTAAACATAATCCAAATATGAGGTATTTGGGTTATTCAGATCACATTAAAATGATAATTAAAATAATTAAAATTACCAAACGTTGACTTTAAAATCTAAGGGTGCATATTCACATTCTACCAATTTGAATGTATCTGAAGTTATTGAGAAAGCCAATTGTTTGAGATACAGTGTTTGAAGATCTAACTTTGAATGGTAAATCTGATGTCTTATGTTAGCATGAAATGCTGCCATTCAACAGAGGAAAGAAGGAAATACATAGAATTCGTTGCTAGCATGTACCAAAATTGAGACCTAATTCCCTAGCATTTTTGTTTAATGCTGTTCCAGTTGGAGGCATGAAATGAGCTGGATGCATCATCTGAGAATGGCGGCTCCACAGGCATCCACTAACCTGCTAAAAGGATTTGCATGTGTTTGTTTATTTTGGGGATTGTATTTCTCAGTTTATGGATGCTTATCCAGAACCAGCTTTGTACACTGGCAAGCAAAAATGAATGTACTTCGAGGGGGTGTTCTAGTCCTATTGACATACTTTATTGGGAAACTAAATACTATTTGCTGATGAAAGTGGGGTGGGGGAATCTGGGGATTTTAAAAGAATAAATATTAATCAGATATGCTTACATAAAACCTAGCAACTGCCTAACAGATAACCGAATGAAATAACTTTGAATGATGGAAACTTATTGTGTAATACATAAGCAATTTGTTATGGGAAAGATAATGTTCACATGTTAAAAATGTCAATATGCAAGTGAAAATGAGCATGGTTTTCCTCTCCTGAAATCTGGCAGGCATGCACAGCATAGTGAATTTTCTCCCTTGATTCTTTTTGGTTCTTTTATGTCATTGTACAGACATGGTCATAAATAAGACCAAGCAACTGTAAGACATAGATAGGCAGACATCAGCAGCAAATCTGTGTCTGGAAAAGTTAAGAGGCTTGTTGTCTGGAATGAAGATCTCTATAGTTGTAAGGAAACTGCAGAGACCACAGGGCAAACTGGATGGACCAACCTCTAGGCAGAAACACCTTAATAAAATTTGGGTAGTATTTTATTTATAGAAATAGATTCAGATATTTCACATTTCTCAGTTGTGATTTTTGTTATATAAATATTTTTTTCCCCTGAAACTTATTGGGCTCTTATTTTAGCCTTTTCACACTCAGGTCTCAGTTCTTCCTCCCAACTTTGTCCTTCAACATCTTCTCTACATTCCTTTCTCCATAAAAATGGATCCAATTCACAGTCTCTTGAATCACATCTAACTTACCCAGGCCATTTTTCTCACCTGTCAAATTTCCTCCTTTCTCTACCCCTCTGTACTTACTTAAACTTCACATGGACACTCTTCTACCTCCCAAAGGAATTTTCTTTGAGAACTCTGGGCAGAATTGACTTATCTGTTCTTTGAATTCTTTCCTTCACCTTTTTTTTTTTGGAGTGTGTGTGTGTGTGTGTGTGTGTGTGTGTGTGTGTAACGTGTTGATGGCATGTTGTTATGTTAGTTATCTATTGCTGACCTAACAAATTATCATGCATTTAGCAGCTTAAAATTAATAATTTATCATTTCGTTATTTGGTGGTCAGAATTTCAGGTACATGGTGGTGGTAATGGTTGGGTGGTACATACTGATTCCTAAATCATTGAGTCTTAAACATTAAATATGTACAGCTTCCTACATGTCATTGGACTTCAATTAAGTGTTGCTGTTGTTGTTGTTGTTGTTGTTGTTGTTGTTTTTAAATAAGTTTAGGCACAGAATGATGTGGCTTGTTCTCTAGAGTCTCCCAAGGCCAATATCAAAGTGTCAGCAGCATTGCTTTTCTTTCTGGAAGCTCTGGGGGTGATGCTTCCAAGTTTATACAAGTTGTTCACAGAATTCATGTCCATATGGTCATTATAGGATGAGGTGTTTATTTCCTTGATGGGTGATGGCCTAAGGTCCTTTGCAGCTTCTAGAGGCTCCTTTGGTTCCTGGTAGGTGGCCTCATTCCTCCACCTTCACAGCTACATGAGTAGGTTGAGTATGCTTTGAATCTTTTTGACCTCCCTTCTGCAGCATCTCTTCTGACTCTAGCCAGAGAATTTTCTCTGCTTTTAAAGGTTCATATGATTAGATTGGGCTCATCTGAATAATTCAGGGTAATATATTTTAAAGATCATAATCATGCTTCCATACCTTGGCTATTGTGAATAATGCTGTAATAAATGCAAGAGTGCCTATATCTCTTTGAAATCCTATTTTTATTGTTTGGGGGTGGGTATATATCCAGAAGTGGAATTGCTGGATCATATGGTAGGTCTGTTTTTAAGTTTTTTTAGGAACCTCCATTCTGTTTTCTATAGTGATTGGATCCATATCAGTGGATGAATGGATAAAGAAGATGTGCTACATATGTATTATCTATATCTATATATCTATATTCCTATGTCTATGTCTATGTCTATATATCTATCTATATCTATATATATATCTGCATTGGCTTCTTGATTTGACTCCATATTCCCTGAATCATGGCTTCAGTTGGCCAGTCGTTAGCTTCATCTTGGTCAGGTTGCTATGGCAGTGCTGGTCCCAGAGGAAGTAGCTACCCTGCTGAGCTGTTTCTCTATACGTGAAGTCTTTTTAAGAGGCTCAGGCTAGAAAAAAAAAAAAGAAAAGAAAAGAAAAGAAAAAAAGAGGCTCACATTAGAGCATACTTCTTTATTTTAGGCTTTTGTAACAGCCTATTCTCTTGTATTCTTCTTTGTGTTTTGAAACGCAGTAGTTTATGGTTTATCTACTGAACCCTGCCTCACACAGTATTTGATGCTAGGAATAAGTGCAACATAAGAGATCCTTAAAATAAGTGGCTTTGGATTAGTGGTCAGGTATAGAGAATCTGATGCTACAGGTTAGGACCTTGTGGGTCCTTGGCCAAACGTTTGTTAAAATTGTCATATATAGTAATGTGGGAGGAAAATGTTCCACAGAGGGAGTGCCTATAGCTTTGAGGGAAGTAGCTCTATAAAAAAATAACTTTGGTATATTATATCTGCTTCTGACTGTTTTTAACAAAGTATTATATAAACAGATGATCTGTCACAGGCAAGAATTTTTGAGTGTGTGGGCAGAGATAGAAAGATATGGAAAGATCTACAAATTTGGGGCTTCACAAGACAGAAAAAACCTTCAGCTACCTCTTTGCCCCAAGAGTGAGATGTTAAGGCCAAGCAAGGAAGCCAGTAAATAAGATAAAATTAATGTAATCACTAAGTTCAGACAAAAAGTTGGAGTATGATTATTGGCACATGAAATCAACTGCAAGCAAATAAACCAAATGGCTAATATATTCTGAGGTAATTATGTTAGTGAAGAAATCACAATTCTGGGCTGAAAGACCCATGTTTGTTTTCAACCCAAAAGTAACCCTCAAATTTCCATTCATGAACAAGCAGAAAATGGACAGGCAATGAGATGGGTAGCCTCTAGGGGGAAGTTACTCTCTAACATGCAGTTCATTTTTGGCCACAAGAGATGAAAGAGAAGAGGTGAAATGACCTCTAAGAGAGCAAAAGCCTGAGAGGGCAGCAGAAGATCCTGGAAATGTGACATTCCCAGAATGCTAAGGCAAGGTCTGTATGATGAATCCACTTCATTTCCAAGAAATAAGTTTTGTAATTCTAGTCACCGGAACCATTCTTCACCAGTGACCAGTTGTTGCTGAGGGTCTTTAACACCCCTGCTTTTTTGAAAGTTAATATTAACTATGTTTATTTTGTTCCTAATTCATTCAGGTATCTCACAGTTGAAGAACTTATTCTGAAATCATATAGGTGAAATGAATTATTATAAATCTATCTTAGCCTAAGCATCTTTTTTAATGCAGAGGAAACAATGAGAGTGATCAGTTTTATGTCTTAGTTATGTTTCTAGTTTAGAAACATTGCAATTTTATACTCAATTGCATAATTTATACAAGAGTTAAATTATCCATTTCCTAATGTAACCAACTTAGTGTTATGAATAAATTTTAATAAATTCCTTGAATTATTCTGTGCTTTTCATATTCTGCCAAATTTCTGTAGTTTGTGTAAATCATGACAAATGTTTCCTCCTTATTTCCTAAATAATTGAGAAATAGTGATAAAGAGATCTAACCTTTAGGTGAATCCAAACATCATTATAATAAAACAGAATTTTTAGCTATTTGCATATTAAATACAACTATCTTAACTATTTGGTAGCTTCTACAGTTAATTTTTGTCACAAGCTATGGGAATCAGGATGCAATCTTTGATACAGTAGGGGTAAATAAGTGTAAGGTTTTATGCCATGACTCCCATTACTTTTGGAAACTTGAAAAAACTGTGTTTTATTATAGTGATGTCTTATTCATATCTTCTCTAAAAATCCTTTAAAATTATTGTTGAAGTCATAATAAAAATAATATATATCAATTTTATCAACTACAAAGTTCTAGGCATTTTGCTAGGTATATTTGTTATTATTTATAATATACTAGTACTCTAATATTATTTCAAATAACATAGTTGAACACAACTTAATAATTTCTAGAGGTACAATATGAATCTTTAAAATAAAACAAACTTTAAGAATGATAGTAAATAGGAATGCAAAATTTTTAGTAAAGATGAGAAAGACATTCACCTGTAGAGAAAATATATATTGAGTTTATATTTTCTTTTTTTTTAAATTTTTTAAATGTTTATTTATATTTGAGAGAGACAGAGACAGAGCATGAGCGGGGGAGGGGCAGACAGAGAGGGAGACAGAATCCAAAGCAGGCTCCAGATTCTGAGCCATCAGCACAGAGCCTGAGGTGGGGCTCAGCCCACGAGCTGTGAGATCATGACCTGAGTTGAAGTCAGATGCTTAACTGACTGAGCCACCCAGGAGCCCCCTGAGTTTATATTTTCTTATAAAACTACTCCATATCCACAGAAAATTATACAATAGACCTCCCATCAGTTAGAAAAAAATTATCAATATTTTGTCAACTGTGATTTATTTATCACCTCCAGCTTTCCCTACACCCCTTTAAATGACAAAGAAATCTAGATATCTTGATCACATCACTAAACCAAATTTCGTATAGTGATATAGAGGGGCTTAGTTACCTATGATTTCATATACACATCTTGCAAAAATTTTGAAAAGACATTTATTTTTTTTGACAGAGAGACAGAGAGTGCAAGTGCGGTGGGGGCAGAGAAGGAGGGAGAGAGAGAATCTTAATCAGGCTCCATGCCCAGCACAGAGCCCAACTTGGGGCTTGATCTTACCACTGAGAGATTATGACCTGAGCTCAAACCATGAGTTGGTCACTTAACTGACTGAGCCACTCAAGCACCCTGAGAAGACATTTTTAAAAAGTTATTCGCCCTTGAAATTTATTCATTATTTCTTGCCTAGTAATTTTAATTATAGTCAATATCTATCTTTCTTTATTCACATTTGAATACTTATTTCTGTGGAATGTGTCATTTTAGCAAAGAAGAGAAGTTTCATTCCATCTCAAATCATATGCCTCTAGAATCCCAGGAAGAGGAAAGGTGCACTTATGTTGAAGGCTATTTTCTCATTTCTTAGGAACTGGGGAGGTCTTCTCACTTGAGTAGGACCAATAGGTCCAAATAAAAGGACTAACAACAAACCAAATATATGTATTAATTTTCAGTTTGTATTCTGGGGTGCCCGGGTGGCTCAGTCAGTTAAGCCTCCGACTTTGGCTCAGATTATGATTTTGCGGTTCATAAGTTTGAGCCCCCATTGGGCTCTGTGCTGACAGCTCAGAGCCTGGAGACTGCTTCGGATTCTGTGTCTCCCCCTCTCTCTGCCCCTCCCCCACTCATGCTCGCTCTCTCTCTCTCTCTCAAAAATAAATAAACATTAAAAAAAATTAAACAAGTTTTCAGTTTGTATTCTAATAATTATGGAATTTAAAAAAAGATGTTACTTCAACTTGCAAAGTACATGGTTAGTAAATATCAATGATTCATTCATTCATTACAAAAATATTAGGCCCCTGTTATGTTTCATGTATTATGTAATTTAATAGATATAAAATCTTAAAAGGCATATTTACTCATTATTTCCCTTGGCAAACAGTGGGTTACAGGAGTGAATAAGGCCCTGGTACTGTCCTAGAACAAATGGAACCAAGAGTAATAGAATCAGATGCTGTGTTAAAGACAGGGGCGCAGTGCGGCTGGGACCATAAAAAAAGGCTAAGAGAAGCACTAATTTTGAAATGAAGACGGAGTGATAATGGCCATTGTGACAGGTGTGAGGTGAATCTCATTGTGGTTTTGGTTTGCATTTCCCTGATGATTAGTGATGTTGAGCATCTTTTCATGTGTCTCTTGGCCATCTGGATGTCTTCTTTGGAAACATGTCTTTTCAGAGTCTCTGTCCATTTTTTAATCAGAATTTGTTGTTGTTATTGTTTTTATTGTTGTGTTATAGGAGTTCTTTTCATATTTTAGATATTAATCCCTCATCATATATATGATTTACAAATATATTTTCCCATTCAGTAGCTTGCCGTTTTATTTTCTTGATGCTTTTCTTTACCGTGAAGAAGCTTTTTAGTTTGATATATCCTTATTTGTTTATTTTTGATTTGTTGCCATTGCCTTTAGAGTCAGATTTAAAAAAATCATTGTCAAGACTGATGTATGGGAGCTTATCACCTATGTTTTCTTCTAGGAGTTATTTGTTATTGACCTTACATTCAAGTCTTTCATCCATTTTGAGTTAATTTTTGTGTATGGTGTAAGGTTGTTGTCCAGTTTTCATTCTTTTGAATGTAGCTATCCAGTTTTCCCAGCACCGTTTATTAGAGGGACTATTCTTTACCCCATTGTGTATTCTTGCCACCTTTATGTAAATTCATAACAAGTGTTGGAGACGATGTGGAGAAAAGGGAATCCTTGTGCACCTTTGGTGGAAATGTAAACTGGTGCAGCCTGTGTGGAAAACAGTATGGAGGTTGCTCAAAAAATTAAAAGTAGAACTACCGTAAGATTCAGCATTACACTATTGGGTATTTACTCAAAGAAAATGCAAACACTACTGCCAGAAGATATATGTACCCCAGTGTTCATTGCAGCATTATTTACAATAGCCAAGATATAGAAACAACCTAAGTGTTCATCAATGGACGAGTGGAAAAAGAAAATGTAGTGTGTGTGTGTGTGTGTGTGTGTGTGTGTGTGTGTGTGTGTGTGTAATGGAATACTATTCAGCCATAAAAAGGAATGAAATTTTGACATTTGTGATAACATCGATAAAGCTTGAAGGTAGTATGATATAACTGAAATAAGTCAGAGAGAGAATGACAAATAATGTATGATTTCACTTATGTGTTGAATTTTAAATCTGAAGCAAATGAGCAAATGTAATAAAACCGATAGATATAGAGAACACATTGATGTTTGCCAGAAAGGAGTAGGGTTGGCGGCTAGGCAAAATTGATGGAAAGGATCAAGAGGTACAAACCTCCAGTTATGAAATAAATAAGTCATGGGATGTAATGTACAGCCTGGTGATTATAGTCCATAATATTGTATAGCAAACTTGAAAGAGTCAAGCAAGTAAATCTTAAAAGTTCCCATCACAAGAAAAATATTTTTTTGTAATTTGTATGGTGACAGATGGTAACTAGACTTATTGTGGTGATCATTTCACCATGTGACAAATGTTTAATCATTATGTTGAACATCTGAAACTAATATAATGTTGTATGTCACTTATACTTCAATAAGAAATAAATGGAGAGGATGTGGAGCAGGTGGTGATGTGTAAGAAAAGTTTTAAAGAGGAAATAAAAACTGATCTATGTGGTTTAAGGGGCAGAGGATAGTTTGGCAGAAGAATCTTCAATGCAGACAAACTGGAAAAAACACAGTGTTAGTATGATGAAAATATTTTAGGTTAGAAAGGATTTGGAATTACATGCTGAGGAAGCTGGACTTCAATGTATTAGAACATAAAGAAAGGAATTACATGATCGTATACAGTTAATTTAACCATAGTTCATGTGCCATGTAGTGCCAGATACCCACATTGTCAGATGTGTATCACTTGCTGAGCCAGATGATGAAATTAAGCTCAGGGTGAAAACTACATATATTCCACTATAATTTAGCTGGCTTGATTTTCCCATGTTTTTGCTATTGAAGCCTATGACCACAGCTAAAACCCTGACAGAGTAGGGACATTTTCCTCTTTCCCTCCTTGAGTCTCTGCTCAATTCAGGTTTATTCTTTAGTGGAGGAAAGAATTGCTGATCAGCATCCTGCAGCCTTGGGCACAGCTGGCATCTGCAATACTTTGGTGTGTGTCCAAGAGCCATGCAGAGAAGTGACATACCAGGGGGAGGGGGAGCTTAGAAGTGATTTCTCCACTCCCTGGAGAAGTCTGTACTCAACACAGTGGGGGGTGGGGGAGTGAGGTGGGTACTGGAAAGGGAGCTACGGAAAGTGATTTCTGCAATGACACATAAACCTGCACCAAGGTTTCCATA